TCAAAATCGCCCAAAATTTTCCATCCCCCCCCCCCCCCAATTTTTTTCCGGTTTTTTTTCCGGGCCTTCACATCTCTAGGTAGGAGCTTTTGGGAGTCGCTGCTCACTTCTTCAGGTTGTGTTCTGACACCTGGGTTCCACTAGATGGCAGCATTCATCTTTGTAAACTTCTGAGCGTCTTTGTTTTGTCCTTCCTTGCCCTGTCTGTGTTGGGGGAGATAATTGTGTTTGCATTCCTTGGCGTTGCTCTCTGTGATCAGTGTCCTCGTGTGGTTGAAACTGAGGCTAATTGCTTTTTTAAAAAACACTCATTTTGTGTAGCCTGAACAAATGGAACTCCGGTGGCTCCCCAGTCTTGTAGATCGGTTACCCGTCTTCCTTTAGCAGAACGGACAAAAGCACAGCCGTAATAATGGCAGCATGGGGAAGCGTGTGCCGCTCTCCTACAACTTGCTAGGACTCGAGTTTGTTCAAGCTAATCGTTCTTGCTCAAAGCCCATCCAGCTGAGCTTGTTCTCCATGGGAAGGAGGGGGGAAACGCTTTCTTCCATTTCTCCCCCTGCCCCCAGCATAAAGAAACGACACCAGTGCTGTGGCCATAGACACACTTGGCTTAGCTGGGCAGCCTCCTCTATGTCAGGGGTGGCCAGGGGTCATTTCCTGCAGGAGTCTCCATGGGAAGGAGGGGGGAAACGCTTTCTTCCATTTCTCCCCCTGCCCCCAGCATAAAGAAACGACACCAGTGCTGTGGCCATAGACACACTTGGCTTAGCTGGGCAGCCTCCTCTATGTCAGGGGTGGCCAGGGGTCATTTCCTGCAGGAGTGCACAGGAGCAGAGCTCCGGCAGTAAAGAGCCCAGGGGGCAGGCACATGCAACAAGCCCCACCCCCTCCTCCCAGCCGCCCTCAGTCAGAAGCAGCCAGGTAAGTTGCAGAGCCCCCCGGCCCAAAACCGTCCAGTGGCACCTTTAAGACCAGGTTTTATTCAGGTAGATTCTCTCCCTCCTCTGCGAGGACAGATCTGCACGCCCCCCCCCCAAAAAAGCTAGCAATCCTAAACAGCCCAGTGAAGCCTGAGCGGTGGGTGTTGCCTTCTGACACACTTCCAGTGATGCCAGGGGGTGTGGCATATGCAAATAAGTTATGCTAAGGAGCTATGCTAATGAGCTCCTGCACCTCTTTTTCTACGAAACGACCCCTGGGGGTGGCCAAACCTGCTCAGTGTAAGAGCTACATAAGAATAAACGTCAGATGTTTGTGAGTTGCAAGACACGAACAGATATTGCGCACACGTTTTTATTGGGAAAATATGCAGATTCACTT